CACAAATGCAATCATGTTTCGATGTGTATTAACGCATCAAGCGTTAGTAAATAACTGGTTAGTAGACAATTTATTGAGATTTAAAAAACACACGCAACCTCTTTTCACGAAAAAAAGGAAGAAAAGAAAAAGAGTAATGAAGAAAAACACAAGTTATAGTCTATTTTCCCGCGAAAAAGAAGAATAAGGGAAAAGAATGAGAAAGAAGCGGGAGGAGATAGCAGCAGGATTTGTTTTGTTTATATTCAGATCGACCAATCAAAATGGCCCAGGCTAAGTTCAAAGTAACGGGACAAACGGAAGTTATGAAACAATCATAAGTAAGAGGTCATGACCCATAGATTTAAAATCGTAGACAACATCTAGACATTATATTCGATACAAATGTAAATTTGCTACAATGTTATATATTAGACACATGTCATTTCCTATGAGAGAAGAAACGTAATTTAACAAGATACCTGACAAACCACATACCCTGTGTGTTAAAAGTTAACATTTCAGATTTTTATAGTTGACAAATATGGCTCTTTAAGAAATAAATGGGAAGTTTAAACAAATTGATCTAACGAAAGTATTAAAAATATATCTAATAAAATTATTTAAATGTGTAGATGAAACAATATTAATGTATGTTGTTTACATCTCAATAAATTGTCTAGTAACCAGTTATTTACTAACACTTGATGCGTTAATACACATCGAAACATGATTGCACTTGTGTAGAGATTTTTGATGCAATATCCTAAAATAAAGAATATTGCACTACTTTTGTATTGAGCTCTTTTTTCAATTGAATGTTTCGAATGTTTGAATTGAATTCTATTTGTTATCATTCCACCCCCATATATATATATATATACATATATATATATATATATATATATATATATTTCAATAAAGGTGCAATTAATTTACAAATTCATGAATTATTCATACAAAAACAAATACAAAGGTTAATGATTTAATTGGCGAGAAATCCATCGTCGCAAACAATTCAAATAATATACAAAAACCCCGAATCTGTTTATGAATGAAAAGATCCTTGTTTTTATAAATTTCTGTTGCATAAGTTCCTATTATTTTTACAAGCTTTCGTCTGTTCCTATATATATATATATGAATGAATGTGTAATGGTTAGCGGCTTGGATTGAGAAATCGGAGAGCCGAGTTCGAATTCCAATCGAGTCCATTACATTCACTTACGTGCTAACACCCTTGGGAAAAGTGTGAATTCTCTTCTTCACCCACCAGCTATGGGTAAATAGCGGGACAGACTGGGTTCTATAGCCTTGGATGGCAACTGGTCTAGGATTCGGCCCTTCAAAAAGTCTGGCTGATTCGGCACGAAACCTTACCATTATAATCAAATCTCATGTGCAGTTGTTTCCTGGGAACTGATCTGCTTGACCTTCATACGCCGAATTCGACGGGAGAGTCGACTATATATATATATATATATATATATATATATATATATATATATATATATATATAAATTATTCTACATGGGATATATATATATATAATTAATTATAATTTATAAACTCTTAATACAACACAACTAGGTTCTGTTCTTGGTCTTGCGTATGTGTGTGTGTGCGTGTGTGTTTGTCTGTGCGTGTGCGTGTGTGTGTGTCTGTGTGTGTGTGCGCGTGTGTGTGTACCTTTATATCTTATTTTAATGTGTTTTACTTAAAGAAATGCAGTTTTTCCTATAGCGTATGTATATATATTTTTTTCTTCTATACGTCATGTACCGTTAAAACTTTGGTGATTATGGCTCTCCATAATTTCCTATCCTCTGTAGCTCTTAATAACTTTAATCTTTTTGCCATCTCTCCAAAACCCTGCTCCACCATTCATTCACTCAAGCCTTCAAACTGTCCTGTGAGTATCGAATTTTCCCAGAACTCCTTCCTCGTAAGGTACCCCTGATTGATGCTCCTCTAAGTGTCATTTTTGCTGCTATTGTCATCGGGAAGTTATACATGTTCGGTTCATGGTATTCTCAGCATCCTCCTGTAGAGACATATTTCTGTTGCTTCAAGTCTTTAAAAAAATTATCAGGAATTCCCTCAAATTTTTGAAATGTAGTGTATCTCTCTCTCTCTCTCTCTCTCTATATATATATATATATATATATATATATATATATATATATCCGTATAGGATGCAGGTTCGAATCCTGTCAAAGGACGAATATTTTCTATGAAAATTTCTCGGACATTCAGGCCGGTAAATGTCATTTAATACTGTTTATTATAAACAGAGCATTTGCTTAAATACTTGTATCTATAAAAAAAGAACGTTAAACATAAAAATGTCTTTAATAAAATATATATATATAAGTGCGCAGATATGCAGAAAATAGAAAAGAACACGTTGGGTGCATAATCCGGGGTTCCTTAGTATTTTTGTATACCTTTTTGTACAGTTGGAATTAAGATACAATTAGTTAATGATCATTTTCACCTGCGAATATTAAAATTTAAATTTCGTAGGATTTCCAAACTGTTTATGGTGTCAGATTTTACAAATATATATACATATATATATATATATATATATATATATATATATATATAGATAGATAGATAGATAGATAGATAGATAGATAGATAGATGGATAATAAAGTTAACAAATCTGTTGGTATATAATCCAGATTGATCTTAGTAATATAAAATATTAAAACTGATCTAAAAAAAAACACACACACTGTATTTATTATTACAGAACAAATAATTAATAAACTATAAAATCCCAAATCACCTCATATGAAGGAATAGCCCATTTCATCAAACAAAAATACCAGTCGTCTGTCTTATCAACCCCGTTGTAGATTGAGTTCGTGACAGAAATAGAAATTTAAAGCCAAAAAAAAAAAAAAAAAAACAATAATAAAATTTATCCATTTCAATGTTTCAGTCAGACGAAATGCACGAGACAGTGGTCAGGGTGGTGGGAGTTATTTGGCTCAAAGAAAATTAAACCCGAATATTAACCTGACATTATTTTGAGATTATATGAAGAATGAAATATTAATTTAAAATTTAAAGAGGAATAAAAATGGCTTTAAAAATAACTTTAAAATATATAGATAAAATTATGCAAGGGTTTACTAGAAAGAGAGTTGGGAAGATCGTAGATTAGAGGAAAGTTTATAAATTATAATTAATGTAGGTAAAGGTGTCGTGAGAGAGACGAAAGTGAGAGAAAGAGCGAAAATAAGTAAGTGTGTTTGCTCAGGTGTCTGTGTGATTACTGGTAACACCTTGAACATTTGTACATAATTATTGTCGGTAATTTGCGAGGAACAAACCACCTATGAATGTGGAGGAAAAAAGAAAAATATAGCAAAGACGTGTCCGATTTAATTTCCGCTAATCTTCGTCTCATCGATTGTAAATGTCTGTGGACTCCATTTTGTATTCTGTACAGCCGGCAGGTGGAGACAATCAAATAAGGTAAGAGTCAACTAAATGTAGGTTGCCAATAATTATCGTCTCGAAGAACACTGCCGTGGTGTCGTCTAAAACTAGAGAAGGCTTTTATAAAACAACAAATACCTCTTTAACACATCATTGGATAGCATTTCGACGTAGTGTAATGGTTAACAAGCTTTGATCAGTTACGACTGAGTAGTCAATACGATCCTTATTGGGTGCTCCATACTATCAATACATAGAAAATGATTTTAGACCTTGTGCCACATCGAAACTACACATAGGAAATCATTTTAGGGCACTTCGAAGAGATGCATGGTTAGCAAGCTTATGTCGCTAGATCAATTACAACTAAACAATGAATTCGATCCTTGTTAGGTGCTCACCACATTCGGCTTTGTGCCACATCCATGCAACATATAGGAAATCATTTTAGGGTACTTCGAAGTGATGCAGTGGTTAGCAAGCTTCTCTGGCTAGATCAATTACAACTGAATCATGAATTCGAACCTTACTTGGTGCTCACCACATTCGGCCTTGTGCCACATCCATGCAACATATAGGAAATCATTTTAAGGCACTTCGAAATGATGCAATGGTTAGCAAGCTTATCTCGCTAGATCAATTACAACTGAACAGTGAGTTCGATTCTTGTTGGGTGCTCACCACATACAGCCTTGTGTCATATCCATAGGAAATCATATTAGGGCACTTCAAAGTGATGCAATGGTTAGCAAACTTATCTCGCTAGATCAATTACGACTGAATTGTGAGTTCGATGCTCAGTGGATGCTCCATACTATCAGCCTTGTGCCACATCTCAAGTACGCATAGAAAATCATTTTAAGGCATTTCGGCGTGGTGCAGTAGTTAGCAAGCTTTTCTTGCTCGCTTAGTTACGACTGAATAGTGAGTTCGATCCTCACTGGGTGCCTCAATCGTTCGGCCTTATGCCACATCTAAGGTTCGCTTCGAAAATCTCCGGATACCTCGGCGTGGTGTAATAGCTAGCAAGCTTGTCTCGCTAGATCAGTTACGACTGAATAACGAATTCGATCCTCAATTGGCGCTCCATATTTTCGGCCTTGTGCCTCACCTAAGTTAACCTTAGAAAATGTCTGGGAGCTGCGATGTAGTACAATAGTTACCGATCATGTCTCTCTAGAGTAATTACGAAGTTGAGAACGACTCATGATCAGACACAATGGACATTCATTGTCTGTTATATTTAGCAATATATGTTTAAGTATATATATATATATATATATATGCACATATATATATCAGATTGAAGAAAGAACAGTTATTTTTATATATAGTGCTCATTATTAAAGATATTAAAGTAATATTAAAAATAGGGCGTTAATGATATTATATGAAAAGATTACTTAACTTTTTAAATATCAGTCCACACTGATGGGTTTGGCCTTGCGCCACATCTAAGCTACGGTTAGTAAATCGTTATAACACATTATTGCGTCGTTTTAACCAACACAAGCGCCGAGTATGGCTCTTCATAGCTTCCTTCTTCTTTCAATGTCTCTGAATTGATATGACTACTTCTCCATCGTTTTTCATTCACATGTTCTCTTCTGCTAGACGGGCGGAAAACGAAGTGGATCGGAATATGAATATGCTTCACTGATTTCAGTTTCAGCACCGGTACCCGTCACACTACCGTATATTCTACATAGACGCGACCAAACTTAATCGGTTATGATTTAAATACAGAGTAACAAGGGAGACGCAGGTTCGATCCCTGAGAGGGAATGCATTTTTCCTTAATAAGATTTCTCCAATACGTAAGATGTTTAAAAATAAAAAAAAATAAGTGGCGTATTCACTATATTAATGTTTGAAGCAATATCTATCTATCTATCTATCAATATATCAATATATATATATATATATATATATATATATATATATATTCATGAAATAAATTATAACCGAGATGGATATATGTAGATAGATAGATAGATAGATAGATAATATTAGTAGTAAATATACGCCTACATATGCAAAATATATAAACATATATACATACATGCATACACATACATATATATATTTTGAATAAAAAATTCCAAGAGGATAGAATCCAGGTAGAACTCAATGTCCAGGACAGAGTAAGGATATAATAAAAAGGCTTAAACACTAATATTCCATAGTCATAATTTATTCCATTGGAATCGTAAATCTACTATCTATATTTCTCATGTTGTCTGTCTGTGTGTCTGTCGTGGGCGTTGTTACCTCGCCCAGGCCGCATTTCTCACCCGATTTCGATGCGGTTTTCACCACAAGTTTGCAAATGGCTGCCTTAACGACATGACGGAGCCCGATTTTTCAGTTCGGACTCAGGTTCCGAAAAAATCGATAATCCAAAAATCTGCTAACAGAAGGAATTATTGCATTTCAACCAAATTTGACAGCCTCTTAGAGTCTACCTTTAGAAGTGTTGTCCAGAGGTTCCATGACCACGGACCCATAAACAGCGCGGAAAATCGATAAAACCCAAAAACCGATACGCCCAGATTGCGTCTGAACCGCATGTCGGTTTTAGCGAAAACCGATCGGATTTATAAGGAAGCCATTGGGAGTCACCATGTGAAGTTTCAACTCTGATCGCCCCCCCCCCACCAACAGAGTTCAAATGGACAATCGGTCAACCCTTAAAAATGTTTTTTCCGGTTGGTTATTTCCTAAATGCAGATTAATTTAAGGTCACGCTATGCGCGGGAAGAAACAGGTCAGTGCGTGCAGTGCTGTATGAGTCGTACGATTTTTGAATCAAGCCCGTCAACACTGGGTCATGCTTCTAGTATATATATATATAATTGTGTATTTGGGCAGCAATCCCTCTTTTATACATGTTTCATTAAAAGCAACGGACAAGGTACTGCGATTAATTTTCTTTTTTTTTAATTTAATTTTTCAGGTATTCTTATAATTTCTCTTTTCGAGGCATAAATTATGTAGAAATTGTCTGAATTTTCTGTATGTCCGAGAACTTTCGGCTATACATTTAGCAATTATCAAGAATATTTTTAATTTCAACTGAATGAAATCATCATTGAGCCGTAGTACCTTGTCAGTCGTTTTTATTGTCAGTGCTCGACCTTATTCCACGTAAGCCAAGATAATCCATAAAAATCCATCTCGGTTATAATTTATTTCATGAATATATTTAAATATTCATCTCTTCGGACCGAAGGTTTTTTAGAAAATTTATATTGAGCTCTCTTCGGATTAATGACTTCCATGGAATTATCGCTACCATTTTACCAATTGGTATGAAGCTGCTCCTTGATCTAAGCTTTCGACTCACATGTCCATGTAACCACTCTGAAGATGGCGAATGTGAGCCGAAATGTTAGATCAAAAAATGCGGATCATCAGACTTTACTTCCAAACTTTTGGAAGTAATGTCTGATGATCTGCAGTCCTTTTAAAAGGGCTGTGGTGAAATAATTTATTACATGCAACCTTAAAGTGGTCTGTTTTTATTTAATATATACATATATATATATATATATATATATATATATAGATAGATAGATAGATAGATAGATAGATAGATAGAAAGAATAGAAACGGTTCAAGCACTAATATTCCATGATTATAATTTATTACATTGGAATCGTAATCACGATCCAATTCATCAGACCTACAAATTCAAAAAGAAATCAGAATATATATATATATATATGTGTGTGTGTGTGTGTGTGTGTATATATATATATATATATATATATATATATATATATATATATATATATAAAGAAAGCTGAAAGAATCAGGCCTAGAATTGGTAATGTGAAAAGAAGAACAAATGAGGAGTGAAGAAGAAGAAGAGGAAAATGTAAAAAAATAAAACGTAAATTAAAAGACGGAATTCATAAGGGAAATTAATTGTGAATGGGAAAAAGAGGAAGTGAAGGAGTAGAACAAAACTCGAAAGAGTGATAAAAAAAGAAAGATTAAAGAAAAGACAGAATAAGAACAGAGTAGTAAAAAAAAAGAGAGAAGAAAAAGAAGAACGAGGAGGAAGAGAAGAAGAAGAACGAGGAGGAGGAAGAGAAGAAGAAAGAGGAGGAGGAAGAGAAGAAGAAAGAGGAGGTAGAAGAGAAGGAGAAGATGAGGAGATGATGAAGAAGAAGAAAAAGAAGAAGAAGGTGGACGAAGAGGAAGTGAATAACATGAAGAAGAAAGCGGAGGAGAAGGAATAGAAGAAGAAAAAGGGAGTGAAGGGGGAGTAGCAGGAAGAGAAGGCTGATGAGGAGGAAGAAGAATAAGGAGGAGGAGGATGAAAGGAAGGAGAAGAATGTGGAAGAAGGGGGTGGATAAGGAAGAGGAGGAAGAGAAGAAGAATAAAATGCAAGAAGAAGAAGAAGAAGGAGGAGGAGGAGTACGAAGATAAGAAGCAATTGAAGTAGAAGCGGGAGGAAATGAAAGATTTAAAGGAGAGGGATGAGTAGAATAATAAAGAAGAAGAAGAAGAAGAAGAAGAAGAAGAAAGTAAAAAAAGAAGAAAAAGGAGGAGGAGGAGTACAATAAGAAGAAGCAATTGAAGTAGAAGCGGGAGGAAATGAAAGATTTAGAGGAGAAGGATGAGTAGAATAATAAAGAAGAAGAAGAAGAAGAAGAAGAAGAAGGAGGAGGAGTACGATGAGAAGAAGCAATTGAAGTAGAAGTCGGAGGAAATGAAAGATTTAGAGGAGAAGGATGAGTAGAATAATAAAGAAGAAGAAGAAGAAGAAGAAGAAGAAGAAGAAAAAGAAGAAGAAAGTAAAAAAGAAGAAGAAGGAGGAGGAGGAGTACGATGAGAAGAAGCAATTGAAGTAGAAGTAGGAGGAAATGAAAGATTTAGAGGAGAAGGATGAGTAGAATAATAAAGAAGAAGAAGAAGAAGAAGAAGAAGAAGAAGAAGAAGAAGAAGAAAGTAAAAAAGAAGAAGAAGAAGGAGGAGGAGTACGATGAGAAGAAGCAATTGAAGTAGAAATGGGAGGAAATGAAAGATTTTGAGGAGAAGGATGAGTAGAATAATAAAGAAGAAGAAGAAGAAGAAGAAGAAGATACAATTCGAGATTCAAATGTATTAATTCAACCAAGTGAGAAAGACCGGCCAAGTGATTGCCAACAACGACCAGAAAATTTATTTACGGGTGACGCCATTTCAACAAATCTCCGACTAAAAAAAAAAAAAATAAAAAAAAAGAAACAAAAACAGGAGTGTGAAGCCGATGAAAATGTTGCTGTCTAGCCGGCGAATTTAGGAATCTGAAAGACATCGATTGGAGCCATTTTGTCGACACTCTAGAGGATCGAAATATGGAAAAAAAATATTTGGCGAATATGAAACTGTTCCGAAAATTGTATTGCTGAAATCAGGAGCAAATACTAAAATGAATCGCGATAATTTATTGAGACTTTCTGTCACTTGACCCCCCCCCCCATTTGCAACGGGGAGATTTATAATAATAATAATAATAATAATAAGCTGTAGAAATCCGAGAATGCATTTAAAAAGCTGACGCAATAAGTTTACCGTCTACGGATCTCAGTGTCGCACTTACCGTCCTCTGTGAAAACGCTTCACAGATATTTAAACTTCTGTGTCTGCTCGATTCTAGTGTTCCCGACTTGCAAATTGCATTTCGGGCTCATGCCTTTTAGTGATGACCATGCATATACCAGCAAAGCATTTTAGTTTGTATTGTGTGTTTCCAATCTGGCCTCTTATGTTTGACTTCACAACAGTTTAGCGGCTGTCTTCCCTGTATTTAAAAAAAAAAAAAATACCAGCTATATATTCTTGTAAAAAGAAAAAAAAAATTCCAGCAAGGTGTTACTGAAGTCGGAATCATGATTGTAACTACAATATATTACGATTCATTGACAAAAATAATCATCATTTCGAGAATGCCATAGAGTTATTCTTCTTTGGGACTTTACCAATTCATACACACGGACGTAATGAGCAAGGACTAGAAATAAAGAAAATGACTTCTCTTAGAGATGGCGGTTCACATCTGAAATAATATGCAAAATAATTAAATATAAAACTCTTGAAATTGAAATTATGTAAGTTCAAAAATAATTGGTAACCCGTGTACAATCAAAAAATACAAACAAGAATATTAACAAGACCAGGGGCGTAATTTTCTTTTTATTCAATATATTTATTAATTTTGTTCCTAAAATTAAACGAAATTTAATTTATATCTATTAACTATCGGCTTTATACATACATACATACATACATACATATATATATATATATATATATATATATATATATATATATATATATATATATTAAGAAATGGACAAAGTCCGACAATTTTAAATCTATAAAAAAGAACGTTAAACATAAAAAAAATGTCTTTAATAAAATATATATATACAGTGTAACCCGGATATAAGAGACCCGGATATAAGAGAAACTCGGATATAAGAGAGATTTTCTCTGGTCCCAAATTAGAGCCTGTGTTAATGTATATAAAATAGACCAAACCGGATATAAGAGACTTCTTCTCGGTCCCGACAACTCTCTTATATCCGGGTTACACTGTATATATATATATATATATATATATATATATATATATATATATATATATATAAAAAGTGAACATAGAAGTCAAGACTTAGAGGCGACAGTCTGTTTCATGCTAGAAACAGGCTGTCTTCTCTGAGTGTTGACTTCTATGTTCACTTTTATATTACACACGCTCAATATCTGATATTGAGCACTTTATCCCATAAATATAGCACATCTTAAGACTATATTTCTTCATACATAAAATATATATATATATATATATATATATATATATATATATATATATATATATATATATATATATTTTTTTTTAAGAAATGGACAAGGTCCGACAATTTATTTATTAAAGACATTTTTTTATGTTTAACGTTGTTATTTTAAATACTTGTATCTATAAAATAACAACGTTAAACATAAAAAATGTCTTTAATATATATATATATATATATATATATATATATATATATATATATATTTATTTAATTCATATTAAATCCTAAAATTATTTGTAAAAGAGTTAAATATTTAAATTGCTAGCAAACACGAAATTAATTTCTAAAACATTTTTAAACTTTTAAATTACTATCAGACGTTAAAATCTGTTTTTTTTTACATAAATTGATAAAACTACACCACCCCTCTTCTTCCTCCGTAAAACCTTAAATATATCTTCTTTCCCTTCACTTCCCCCTTCTTTCTTTTTTCTTTTTCTCTATTCTCTCCTTCCCTTTCAATATATTATTTCCGTTAAGTTAACCGTTTAAATAGGTCAATGTCTGGTCCCTCCTTCCACAATACTAAGTATGATAGAAAGAAATATAAAAATAAACCCTCTCTAAACTCGACTATGTCTCTCACACCACTCCTCGCTACCCTCTCTGTTAAATTACATAAACTTAATACTACCCGTCAAAAATGTCATTTTTTGTTTCACTTTTGTTTCAACTTTTTGGAAGTGATGTCTGAGGATCCAGCGTCCTTTAAAAGGTCTCTGGTGAAATAAATTATTACAATGGAGCCTTAAAGTGGTCTTTTTTTCTTTAATATATATATATATATATATATATATATATATATATATATATATATATATATATATATTATGGTCCAAGGTCCTTGTACCACGGTGATGGTCAATAAAAAGAACTTGAACACGGATATGGAATAACACAGATATATTACAAACAGGAATATATACAGAGAAGTAGAAGTGTTAGTATGAACAATCAGGTTTAGTAGAGAGAACAATGTAGTCTCGACCAGTATCACTATTCCAATGTCTTGCAGTAATTGTCTGAACGTATACAAAGATATTATCTAGCTTTATATATATATATATATATATATATATATAATATATATATATAATATATATATATATATATATATATATATATATATATATATATATATATATATATATATATATCCCAAGACGATAGAATTCAGGTACAACGCAATGTCCAGCACAATGTAAGAGAATAATATAAATGGCTCAAAAACTAATATTCCATGGTTATAATTTTAGTAATCGCGATCCAAATTCATCAACCTACAAATTCTAAAAGCTTTTTGAATTTGTAGGTCTGATTAATTGGATCATATATATATATTACAAATTTTTACCAACAATGCAAGGCTACCATATCACATAAAGTATAGCAAACGAGTAAAGTCAGAGAATCCTTAAGCATAAGGTACAAACAATGCAACAATATGAACAAATATAAAATTAAAAAATAAACCTATATTTCATAAATAAAAGAAATGACACATATTGACGCGTGAAGACGAGCTATTTTAAAATAACATGACGCGTGAAGACGGGATACTTGAAAATGATGAAATTGCCATCGCACACAACTCCTTGATAATGTCTTCTGATGTATTTTTTTTTATCAGAAACTGTTCCCATCTTTCTTCTCCTTCGTTGTTTTGTTGTTGTTGTTCTTCTTCTTCTTCTTTAAGAAATTAACTTTTTCCTCTCTCTTTCTTCTTTTAAAACTTTCTCTTCTTCTTTGTCTTTTCTTCTTTCTCTCTCTTCTCTTATACGGTTTCTTTGATTTGTAGTCTTTTTTCCTTTCACCTTTTTCTATTATCTGCTTCTTCCATTTTTCTTCTTTATCTTTTTTCTTCTTACCGTTCTTCTTCACCTTCATATTCTTTTTCTTTTTCCTTTCTCCTGTTACAATTTCTTCCTTTATTTTGGTTCCTTTTCTTTCTAATCTTACCACAATTTTCTTCTTTTTCTTCGTTTTTCTTCTTTCATATCTCTTCTTGCTTTTTCTTACTCCTCTTCTTTTTTTTTCCTTCGTAGCATATTCCCTCTTTTTTGATTTTCTTCTTCTTCTTCCGTTCTTCTTCTTCTTCTTCTTCTTCTTCTTCTTCATCATCTTCTTCTTCTTTCGTTCTTCTTCTTCTTTCGTTCTTCTTCTTCTTCTTCCTCTTCTTCATCTTCTTCTTCTTCTTTCGTTCTTCTTCTTCTTCTTTTTCTTCCTCTTCTTCATCTTCTTCTTCTTCTTTCGTTCTTCTTCTTCTTTTTCTTCCTCTTCTTCTTTTTCTTCTTTCGTTCTTCTACTTTTGTTGTTGTTCTTCTTCTTTCCTTATTCGTCTTCTTCTTTCGTTCGTTCTTTCTTCTTTTTCTTCTTTCGTTCTTCTTCTTTCCTTCTTCTTTTGTTGTTGTTGTTCTTCTTTCATTCTTCTACTTCTTCTTCTCCTTCTTGTTCCGTTCTTCTTCTTCTTCTTCTTTCGTTCTTCTTCTTCTTTTGTTGTTGTTGTTCTTTCATTCTTCTTTTTCTTCTTCTTCTTCTTTCGTTCTTCTTCTTTTGTTGCTGTTGTTCTTATTTCATTCTTCTTCTTCTTCTTCTTCTTCTTCTTTCATTCTTCTTCTTTTGTTGTTGTTCTTCTTTCATTCCTCTTCTTCTTTCGTTCTTCTTCTTTCGTTCTTCTTCTTCTTTCGTTTTTCTTCTTCTTCCTCTTATTCTTCTTTTTCTTATTTCGTTCTTCTACTTTTGTTGTTGTTCTTCTTCTTTCCTTCTTCGTCTTTTTCTTTCGTTCGTTCGTTCTTCTTTTTCTTCTTTCATTCTTCTTCTTTTTCTTCTTCTCATTTCGTTGTTCTTCTTTTGTTGTTGTTGTTCTTTCATTCTTCTTTTTCTTCTTCTTCTTCTTCTTTCGTTGTTCTTCTTTTGTTGTTGTTCTTCTTCTTTCGTTCTTCTTCTTCTTCTTTCCTTCTTCTTCTTTTGTTGTTGTTGTTCTTCTTCTTTCATTCTTCTTGTTCTTCTTTCATTCTTCTACGTCTTCTTCTCATTCTTCTTTCGTTCTTCTTCTTCTTTCGTTGTTCTTCTTTTGTTGGTGTTCTTCTTTCATTCTTCTTCTTCTTCTTCTTTCGTTCTTCTTCTTCCTCCTCCTGCTTCAATCCCTTTCTCTCACTGTTACCGAATCATGCCTGGTAACCAATTTTTCAATTGCTCGCGACGACAATTATTCTTTACCGCTTCCCGAAATCTCATTCGGTTCCTATTGAAGAAAAAAGTAGCGTCAGAACCATTTCCTTGTCATTTGGCCGTCATTATGACAATCTTTTCTCAAAGCACGTCGATATTTTATATATTACAAGAAAATAGCTCATCTCCCCATCTCCTCCTCCTCATCATCATCATAATTATTATTTCCTTTGGGTAGTAAGAGTTGCCTCAAAGTCTCAACCAGAGACTTCAAGAGGCAGCAAGATTTTCGCCATCAGAAATTCAAATAGGTGAGGGACCCTGCAATCAGGGGCAAAAATTATGTAACAGAGAGAAACCTACGCAAAAATCCATGAGTACGATTTCTTGCAATTCATATATTTTAGGGGTAGCATTGGTCTACATATTTGGCTGCTCCATTTTTATGTAATTGCAAAAGCAACATAGATAGATAGATCGAGATCAACAGGCAAAGATAGATAGATAGATAGATAGATAATGAACAGACGGATATAGATAGATAGATAGATAGATAGATAGATAGATTATATCAGACTGACATAGATGGAAGCAAACTGAAATATATATATATATATATATATATATATATATATATATATATATATATATATATATATATATATAAGACTGAATCTATGTTCGTCCGATTCTTTCTATATTTCTCCTCCTGATGATGGCCATTTTGACCGAAACTAGTCGAGGTATCTAAATGAAATAATAATAATAATAATAATAATAATAAAACCCCAAAAAACGAAAGAATATTAATCAGTGTGTCTGAAGATTTTAATTTTTAATATTTTTTTATTGTTCAATATATATATATATATATATATATATATATATATATATATATATATATATAGATAGATAGATAGATAGATAGATAGATAGATAGGAACAGGTTGGGATACAGACACCTTTGTGCAAATTAATTGAAACAAAACAATTCCATTATTTTTTTTCTATATTTTCCAATGAAACATGGCCCATTGGACATGTTAGTACTTTGTATGTCCATTCCACGAAGTCGTTCCTTGCAGACTGACCACAGACTCCCGATTGTATTTAAATCTGGAGACATTCCAGGCCAGTCTATAATACTTTGATTTGCTCACTGGTAAGGCTTGGCAGTGTGTTCGTGAAGCGTTACAATTCTCGTACGCTTCCTTGGAGTAACATCCATCGCAGACAATGGCCGTAGGACAACTAATCGACAGTCGAGATAATAGTGTCTGGGCGTGATGAAAATCTGCTGCAATCACGGATAACGCAATATTTTTCAAGGCCAAACAAATTTCATCATACACCCCCAAAATAGATTCATTTTACTGCACAACACTGCAAATGCCTTAATCTGAGGAAAAAGTAGAAATCGATTACACCCTGTCACTCCAGTGAGCCTGAAACTGACTGTATGAGGGAAAAAAAGGAAAGCGGTTGTTTCAAATTTCTTACAACTTCCCTTAAACTCTTCGAAAAAAAATCGAATTTTAATTTTTAGACTAATTGAGCTAATGTTTTATTTGGAAGAAGGAATTAGTAGCGGCTTCCAGTGAGAATCGAACTCACTACACCAGCCTATAGGCTTACGCGATGGGCATACTTGCTTAATATTGCGCAAGGGTATGATAGAAGGTGTGTGTCCTTTTCATTTATTCGGAATAAAATAATCACATGGCGCAGTGGATAAATACGTTGACCAGATTCAGTGACTTGACCCAAAGAATTGTGAGTTTAATACCAGGCCTCAGCAGTAGTGACCAAATCTTTCGGAAGAGGTATGGTACGTGGAACTAGAATAATCTACCCCGATGGATGAAATAAAAGGGTTCGGTTCGAAATTCCAATCACTTGAAGGAGGCCGGAGCGTACAACGGCCGAAAGGTTGTGAATAATGAGAATAACAGTCCGAATATATGTAAACTATTCCAGTAATCATAATGAAGAAGAAGAAAAAAGAAATTGTGAAAAAAAGAAAAATGATGAAAGAATGTAAAAAAAAGAAATCTTTAAAGAAAGAAAGAAAGAAAGAAAGAAAGAAAGAAAGAAAGAAAGACTGAAAAAATAAAGAAAGGGAAATATGTAGGAATGAAAAGAATGTAAATAGAGAAATCGTTAAAGAAAAAAGATGGAAAAAGAAAGAGAAAAGAAAGAAAGGGAGGAAAATATGTAAGAATGAAAAGTATGTTAAACAGAAATCGTTAAGAAAGAAAGAAAGAAAGAAAGAAAGAAAGAAAGAAAGAAAGAAAGAAAGAAAGAAAGAAATGAAATTATGTAAGAATGAAAAAAATGTAGAAAATAAATCATTAACGGTAAGGATGGAAAAAGAAAAAGAAAAAAAGAAAGGAAAATATATATGATGAAAAGAATGTAAAAAAGAAATTGTTAAAGAAAGAAAGAAAGAAAGAAAGTAAATAAAATATGTAAGAAAGAAAGAAAGGAAAATATGTACGAAAAAAAGAAAAGAAAATATGTAAGAAAAAAGAATGTAAAAATTAAATCGTTAAATAAATAAATAAAGAAAGAAAGAAAGAAAGAAAGGAAAATATGTAAGATGAAAAAAATGTAAAAATGAAATCGTTAAAGAAAGAAGGAAAGAAATTAAATTATGTAAGAATGAAAAGAATGTAAAAAAGAAATCGTTAAAGAAAAAGGATGGGAAAAGAATGAAAGAAATAAAGAAAGAAAACTGGTGAAGGAAAGGAAAATATATAAGAATGAAAAGATTGTAAAAAAAAGAAATGGTTAAAGAAAAGGGTGAAGAAAGAAAGAAAGAAAGAAAGAAAGAAAGAAAGAAAGAAAGAAAGAAAATATGTAAGTATGAAAAGAATGTAAAAAAAGAGAGGAAATCCTTAAAGAAAAAAAGGACGAAGAATGAATAAATGAATGAAAGAAAGAAAGAAAGAAATAGTGAAAGAAATGAAAATTGTGAAAGAATGAAAAGTATTTACAAAAGAAGAAATCGTTAAATAAGAAAGAAAGAAAGAAAAAAAAAGAATGAAAAAGAAAGAAAGAAAAAGAATGAAAAAGAAAGAAATTGACGGAAGAAAGAAAGATATAGAGATATAGACAGATATTTAAAAAGGGGTTCTTTTCTTTTACCCCCCAAATATTAATTCATCCTGAAATAAAAAGAATTTGCACCAAAATTCCGAAATTTCCTTTACAATTTGTTCAAAAAATGCCTTAACTGTTACTTTTTGTCCTACGTGACCAAAGAGACTCACACTAATAAGAGTCTATAATGTTGCGATGAGTCCCGAACTTGGACTTATTGTTCATTTTAGCGTTCCACTAAGTACTTTCGATTATTTACGTGTTTTTATTTCATAACATTTAAATGTACACACTTTAAAAATTTTGCTAATTGTGCCGTTATATTTTCATTTGTTCCTAGGTGTGCCGTTGCTTAAAAAGTTTTAGAAACACTGTACTAGAGGATGGCATCTTCTTTATTCTGAAACAATTTGTAGTGGATTATATTCGAACAAATTCTCTTTACGAGGGAGGTTGCATGCGCGACATATTGAACAATGTATGAATCGAGTAACCTTTTGTTGCAAGTACTCGATTGGCGCCTTAATAATTTTTTTTTTCTTATATTCGTTCACATTCTGTAACACCCTCCGGGTTAGTGGCTTTGTTGCCTTTCTTGGGATGGAATTGTGACAAAAAATCGCTACGGTAAAATACGGTTAATTTAAATAACACGGAAGTAAAACAAAAACAGAACAAATTTAACTGATAAACCAATATTTACGTTCCACGGTAAGAATATCTCCTTTTCAGTTACTTTACGTTTATAAAACCAATACCAGTCAGTCGACCGCCACTTCTTTCGCCGACCAAACCAATCTATCAAGTTGGTGTTTCTCATGCAAATGTTTATTAGTCGTTTCTAGGCCTCAAATCACCAATTATACCGAATAATTAATGAGACAATTACTGCAGTCTCATTTGATCTTGTCTCGTCTGGTCGCCTCCATTTTGATTTGATTTCATTTTTGCCGCCATTTTCTGTTTCTTTTTTTTTTTCTTTAATTTTTCTCATTTATTTTCGTTTATTATCCACTTATTATTTGTCTCGATGGATATGTTTGAAAAAGCGAGGTTAAACTGTGTATGTGACTGCTTAAATGCTTGCTATGTCACTGTTCTGGGGTTTGTCTGCGTGACTTTGGCTGCGTGCGAAGAAAGGAAAAAAGACAGATGAGATCGTGATCTAATGATTTATAATGAAGGGGGCAGACATTGTTAATAATAATAATTACAATAATAATAATAATAATAATAATTATGTGTTGTCTTAGTTTGAGAAACTCTGGTTTTATTTTAGGCTTAGTTTCATAATCTCATTTAATATGCTTTCGTCTTTTTTTTTTTGCTAAGACTGGATTATTGATTTCGAGTTTGGTTTGTATTTGAACAAGTTACGTTTTTTCTTGGTTTTGTTTTTCCTCGATGTTCTCGACATTTTTACCTTTATTTTAATCTTATTTTATTAACACGTCTTTTTTCTTTCTTTTTCTCTTTCTTTGTTTTTAACGATTTCTTCTTTTTTTTTGACATTCTTTTCAGTCTTATATATTTTTCCTTTCTTTCTTTCTTTCTTTTTCTTTTAACGATTTTTTCTTTTACATTCTTTTTATTCGTTCATTATTTTTCTTTCTTTCACCATTTCTTTCTTTGCTTTCTTTCACCATTTCTTACTTTATTCTTTAACAACTTCTAAATAAATGTTTTTTCTTTCTTTCACAAGTTTTTAAATTTCCGTATTCTTTTCTTTCTTTACAAATTTCTTATCTTCATTCATTGTATTGTTTTTTGCTTCAATCATTTTCTTTTTTTCTTCTCGCTAATAATTTTTCTTTCACAATTGTTTTCTTTTTTCTTTCTTTCTTTTTTCACAATTTCTTTCTTTCATCATCTCTTTGTCTTTCTTCATTTCCCTTTTCTACATTCTTTAGTTTCTCTCAACATCTTTCTTTCTTTCTTTCTTTCTTTCTTTACCTTTTCCTTCTTTCTTTTTTCACAA